TTCCAATTATTATATTATGATTTTTACTATTGTTTATATCTTTTTATTATTTTTTATTCTATTATATTGCTTTCCGTGCAAATGCACGGGTTAAAAACTAGTATCGTACTCAAATTCAATGCCAACTTAAAATCTAAGTCAACTTCACTATTCTCAATATTATTAATATAATAAAATAATATTAATTAATCATCCTTACACATCACATCCACTTTAATTAATTCACTCACTTAATTTTAACTATCTATCACTTTCTATCACATTTCTCATACTTTTAAATTAAATTAGCTTTAATTAATGGAAATGACTACAGTCCCGTTATGGAACCATTCCGTTTGGGCTTTTAATCGTAGATGATATTATTTTAGTCTAAACTTAAAATCTCAATAAAAAATAATCAAACAGACTTTCTCAAAATTAAGCCTAATTAACAAACAATCTATCAAACTTTGATATGTATCCCATCACACCCTAAGTTACTTCGTCTTTGTTCTTGTATCATGACAATTCCTATTGCACCTCAAGAAAGTTCATTCTTCTTTCTTGTTCTTCTTTTTTCATGTTTTGCAACGTGATGCATGTATTTTAAAAAAAGATTTTTATTCAGAAACCTGGGATTTCTTGTCTTCGTGTTTCTCTTCCCTGCTTTGACTTCAGCTTATCTTGAAGCTTCCAGAAAAACTGAGCCCCGATAAATAAAGCAAAAGCATCAGAAATAGTGAGAGTAAAAGGATTCTGATACCGAACTGTTACCAAATTGACTTGCCATTTTAAGTTTGGCTGCTCTTTATTCACTTTTAAACTTGAAAGGAAAAGACATAGTCGATAATCGTGCTTTCCCTTGAGATGTGTCTGAAGACTTGGAGAATCCGAAACATCGGTTGGACAAACTAAAATTTCAGTATTACTTCACATCACTTATCCCAGTTTAATACATCAATCAAGAATCAAAGTCGATTGACGTTCCTTTTCATTCGATGCAAAAAATGCTTACTTTGGATATAAAGACTGACCTTCATTCAAAATCCACTGTTCTCATTACTGATGTCGAATCATATTGAGCTGTTACCGTCCTGTAATCCAAAACAAGCATTCAAGTAAGAAAAAGAAGTATAACAAAATCAAGTTAGGAACATTATTATCCACAAAATCCTTAGAAGATCATTTATTTTTCCAAGTCCAATGACAGAGAGTGACCTTCTGTTTTGTACTTCTTAGAAGATCATTATTCTTAGAAGATCATTTATTTTTCCAAGTCCAAGGATATAGAAGTTGTGAGGGCATGCTGTAGAGGATTCCTCTGAAAAGACTGTCTTTACTCGATAAAATGCTTTTAAAGCTATTTACTATTTCTTTTCAAGTTTTAAATCATCTTACTCAATATATATTCAATCCACTTGATCATATTATATTTCTTGGTTATAGTAGATCGGTTTTTGTAAACTTCAACATACTTTCTAATAGCAAACCCATTGATGTAATGAGGCACGCTCTAGAGGATGGCTCTGCAAAGAGTGTTTCTACTCGATAGAATATTTTTTCGCCATTTACTATTTCTTTCCATATGTTTTTAGTTTCTTATTATATACATTCAATCAGTTTGATCAAGTTTAGTATATGTGTTTTTGTAGAGCTCAATATACAGATAGTTATACCAGTTCATGTAGAAATTAACAATGGGCAAGCGACGAGCAATTCTTAGTGCACTTACTACAATATGCAGATTGGACAGTAAGAAATTCAGTAGGCTTGTGAGTTGGGATTATAATATTGCTAGTAGCTCAATTAGCCACCTACGAAAGAAAATTGACAAAATAAACACTGCCATATACGAAATTGCAAATAAAACTAAACCTTTTAAAAGTTTCAAATAGAGGCACGATTTTTTACGAGTTGCAAATTTAGTTAGCCCTCGATTTCCGTCATTGGAGATCGTGTGTTCGGCCAGATTACACATGTAGCCTTTTATTTTATTTTATTTATTTTTTTAAAAAAAAACTCTAAATTATTAAGTCAGTCACAACGGTCATGCTCACCTCTCTGATTATGTAAGGATAGGGAAACCTCTATACCATTCGCAGAAAAGTTTCAAACTCGACGGTAATTTTGTTTGTTTCTGAAGGAAGATGAGAGCGGCGGCGGCGGATCTTTGAAATGAAGGCCGGTTCTACCGGCAACGGCTAGTTTCTTTGCTTTTGTGTATTTTTGTCTCCATATTCAGCTTAGACTTCTAATTGGATTTTTCTTTCTAGGATGGAGGCACATGTAATTATTAACGAGCAATTATCAATTTAAACTAAACTTTGATCTTGTGTACATGAACATAAGCAAATAAGATTTCCATCTGTTATGTATATGTAATATTTAAAATCATAAGTTAGATAATGAGAATATCACATTTTATAGATTTTATCATTAGTAAAATGAACAATATAAATCTAAACTATTTAACATATTAATTTTTATATTGATTCATGCAATAATACAAAGTTTGCAATCTTGACGGGATATGATCAATTAATTAGATATAACAATATTGAAACTATTATTACAACACTTGTGTACGAAATTTTAAGGGGTTTGATTATGCCATTAAAAAAGAATTGATTAATTTTAATAAAAAAACTTGCTTAATGAGCTGAAAAAAAATAATATTTTAAGTAAATAATTTGAAAAAAAGATTTAGAATATAATATCATTCAATGTAACTTTATGATTAGTTAGTAATAGCTATTATGTAATAAAATAAATTAAAATATAATTACTTTGTCAATGTAAAATATAACGTAAAAGAGCGAAAAAACAGAAACAAATATCATAAATTTTTTATCAACAATTTTATATATAGATTTGTCAAAATGAAGAAAAATGAGATATGCGAACAAAAAAATAAAGCAAAAACTTTTAGAAAATGTAACAACCAAATTGTTAATGACATTAAATTATAGTGTCAAATGATCCCTTATTCTTGATTTATTTACTATAGACATTAAAAGAGGTGCAACAATGGAAATAAGAAAATTAAATTTGCTAATGATAGTAACATAGGATTTAAAGTGAAATCAGTAATAATAAAAAAATAAATATTTACTTATATATGTTAAAAAAAGTTATACAAGTATTGTAAGAGCATCTCCAATGTTATAGCTTTGAAAGACAATGATTTTTAACACATGTCAATCAATGATTGTAATGTTAATCTATGTAGGAATAATGTTAAAAGAGTTGAAATTTGAATCAAACTAGTATCTCCAATGCATCAATTTGATAACAAGTTATTTGTATATGTGGACTAATTAAAATAATCATTAATACAAGAACAATAAAAAATTAAATCAAATATAAAGTGAATTAATTAGTCATCATGTTTAACATGGTGTTAGATATTAGAAAGTGTGTTCAACATTGTTAACATTAAATGCTATCCACCTCATCATGAAAGAGTTCATGACAAGATGCATTGGAGAATAAATTAGTAATACACTTTCAAAATTTGATGATAGTGAATTTTTATGAAGTCAAAAGCCACATTGGAGATGCTCTAAAACTGATTCATCATGGATAACTAAATTTTAGGCACAAATTAAGGTGCTTATTAATTACTTTTCTCGTTTTTATTTTGTTAAATAAAAAAAACTAGTATGACACCCGTGTACTACACGAGTTGTTTGAAAAAAAATATATAAAACATAAAATAATAGAAAAAACACATGTTGTTGGATAAAAAAATTTTATTTTGGTTTACACGACATATAAGATAAGAATCCTAAGATGTAATGTTGCCAGCTTTATAAAAAAAATTTATTCTGATCCTAAGATGTAATGTTGCCAGCTTTATAAAAAAAAATTATTCTGGTTTACACGACATATGAGATAAGAATCCTAAGATGTAATGTTGTCACCTTTATAAGATAATAATCTAAATATCCTAAGATGTAATGTTGTCAGCTTTATAAGATAAGAATCTTATTTAGTTTGGAATTGGGGGATTTACACGGAGAATCCTATTTATTTGGAGTCAAAATTTCTATTTATTAAGTATTTTATTATAAACAATTAGGGAATGTATCCGAACCAAATGTCGAAGCATGTAATGCTGCCAAGTAAGCTTCCGAAGCAGGCGAGACAGCCATTTAGGCTCAACACGTTTTCAAATTATATTAAGAGTGGATTACATTAAATGAAGTGCAACAATTTTGGCAGCCAATAAAAAAAAGGATTTGATATGGAAGAACATATGTTGGCATTTCCTTGATTGACCAAGACTTCTTTTTTGTGTACTTCATTATATTGTATATTAATTAATTATATACATTTTTTGTTACAGTGCAATTACACATTTTTCAAAAAAGACTAAATAAATATCTACTTACAAACTTAAATAATACTAAGGGAAATAATAACAATAAAGGTAAATAATATTAAAGTACATGGAAAATAAATAAATATCTAAGATCTTCTTTCTTCATCACTAACTATATAATCGTCCGAGATATGGATTGGATAGCAGACTCATTACAAGTCATAGATCAGGCAAGGTGTGATACCATTTTCGAGTTATAGATTCTGGAAAAGAGATGCGGTCACGTAGAGGTGAAGCACACATTTAGTGAGCAAGCCTAGGTGTATCTGTGCTTCCATCCAAAAACTAAATTTTATTAAGAAGAGCAGCTCATTAAGCTTATAAACTATACTCATTTTCTCTATTTATTCAACCTTAGACAACTAGAAGTGATATTCCAACATATCACAACTTACGAGGTCCTATTAGTGGACTCACAAGGACCTCACAACTAAGCTAAAGCAATAGGATGAGAGTAAATTACTCACATTCCTAAAATAGTAAAATGGCCCCAAGTAATATACACCCCTTGGATTTCTCATTAAGACTCCTTTTCCAATAACTATTGTCAGAATAATTTGGGGTGTCTGAGAAATAAAATAAAGAAGAGGCCAGAGGAGACCATAGAGCACAAAGGAGGCCGAGAAACAAATAGAGAATGGATATATACAATTCCAATGGGTTGTCTTGGGCTGATCAATGGGACCCTGAGCCTCTACCATCCGAAAGGCCGAATGAGAAGGAGAAAAGTAGGTCCGACAAGAACAAGGCAGGGAAGAAAATTCTTAACCTCAAATGGGTTAAGAACATATGTAAGAAATCAAAGAACAATGTACACAAGGTTTAAGATGTCATGATATGGTTCATCCATGATCCATGTTTTCATCAATAACCCTTTACTGGTTTCTTGCATTTGTGTACGTGGTGCATTTCATGTGTGTTTATGGTTAGTTATTTTTTTGATATGTATTTTTCCTCTTATTTTCTATTATTTTGGAAAACATTGATGATCCATGTGTTGAGAGACGATCTTAAAATTTGAACTGACATTCTCATATTGGTTTATGTTTAAGTTGCATGGGAACTTTTCACTGTAAATTGTGGTCGGATATATTAGGGATAATTTCTTTTACACTCCAATATATACATTGTTTTTTTTTTTTCACACCATTCCAACAAAAAACATTTTTTTCGCCTCAAAACTCATGAAATTATATGCGATATAAAAAACACATGTCGAAAGGAACCGCATAATTAACAATTATGCGAGATATTGTTGCATATTTTCCAACTCTAGGGCAGTGGGGATGTGACTGTCGTTGTGGTCATTGTGGTCGCCAGAAGAGGATGATTGTGTCAGAACCACGGCTATCCCTTCAAAGCCGAGGGATGGAAAAATTATTAATTATGAGGATTTATTTTAATTGCCACTTAGGTAGTACCACATAAGCAGTAATGGAGCCAACTATTGGCTCTATAGCAAAGTTGGGGTAAAAATAGTTCACTCTTTCTTTTCCCTGTGCCTACATTTATGTATGGCGTATATACGGAAATTTTGATCCTAGGGCAGAATCAAAATTGCCATGTATATACGTTCCAAGTTGTGCTACTGCCGTGTAGCATAAGAGACCAAAATCCCTTGTTTCCACAGTTTGTTAAGCAATAAGATTCTTTGAAGGTTGAGCAACAAGCTACAATAAATAAGTGTCACATTGGGCTGCAACACTTGCAATGGAAACCTTGTCATTTGATGGAAGAAAATTGTAGTCTTCAGATTCTCCATGTAAGTACACTGAGTATTAATGGAAAAGGCTATTTCTAAGTCGCATTCGTAACAAAATTCATCAGCTCTTGTTTTGCTGTCTCCATTACTGCTCCAAAGTTAACGTGCACATATCTTCCCCTGCAATTCGTTCAGTTTTTGCAGTCAAATAATTACTTTATTAGCCATTCATAAAACAAAAACCAGAAAAAAAAAAGGGGGTGAGACCGAGAAGTGAAGGCTTATGTATCCAACCAAAAACTCGGACAATAATATATCTAGCACTTAAAATACATTCAGTCAGAATATTAACCATGCGTCGGAAGGGAATATGCAACTCTTGGAATATAAAGGAAATATTCAAAATTGAAGAAACTTAAATTGTTTGAATAAAAAGGTTTTTTTCTTTTTTTTTTCCTTCTTCCTTAACTCAGTTTATGGGTGGTGATATATGTTTGAATAAAAAGGTTGTCTTTTCATCATTGCTTGGTAAAATCTTCAACTAAAATCTGCTGAAAGAACCTTTGGTCTCAGAGATAATAAATGAAAGAGAGATGCCAATAGACAATCGGATACGTCTAATGTGAGAATTTCAAAGCTACTCTAGAAAGGAACTTTAGATCATTGTTTCGCAACAATACCAGAAATGAGTTTGTGACCAAGTTGTTGAAGGAAAGGCTGGACTCGAAATTCCATGCAGTATTCTTGCAACAGCTCTCGGAGTAAATTTCATCCGCGCATTACTTTTGAGAAAAACCTAGTAGATCCAGAGAGAATGAAAGATTAAAACCTTGAATTCAAGTTTAGGAATCAATTACGTAAACATTGGAAATCCTTACCTTAATATCTGCTTGCAGAAACCGGCTGCAGATTATGAAATATTTACATTAGTCCATAGGAATATCAATTATCAAAAGTTCATTTATGGTAGCAAGCTTTGTATGTTGATATACACATATTGTAAATGAAAACCCACAGGCACGCCATTCCATATGAAGACTGTATGATACAAAGTTACCAACAATGCTATGTCCATAAATGCTTGGTCAGGTTTGCCATGACCAATAAAATAATCAATTTTGTGGAACTTCATGGAAATCTTTTAGGGCATAAGCTGAAAACGACTTGCAAAGAAATTGTTAAACAATTTGCTGATTTTTGGAACCTGTTTTGGTCCATCTGAATAGGTACATTCACATCACTGTCCCCTTGGAAGTACTCATGAATATTCCTTCGCATACAAGGCGTATGTTGATGTTTATGGCAACCAAATGCATTGTCACACACTCTGGCAGCGAAGTTTGCGGCATGAAACATTGCATCTATCTTGCGAACCTATTTCAAGGCAAGAGCAGGTGAGCAAACATAGAAGAAAGTAAATAATATACAAATTAGTTATAATTTCCAGACACAGAAGACAACGCAAGTTCTTTCACATATATCGTAGCCACAAGTGGGGCATAAGGAAATATAGTCCAATTCTTAGAAGCACTCTGAACAATTAAACTAAGGCTTGATCGCCATATTAAAAGATATGGGGTGTTATGAATCGACTATCTACCTGAAAACTTTACAGGACTAATTTCTTGTTAAAAGTTCAACTAATAAGTGATGGACATAATCCTTTCAACAAAATGACAAATATTATTTCAATGTCACCAATGTCTGTTGTTACCAATAGGACATCAAAGATAATAGAAATTGCCCAGAATCAATGAAGAGAAAATTTATAATCAACAAATACCATCAAAAAGTTCAGTACCTTACAATTTTCAACCTCCCCAAGCCACTTTGTCAACTGACCTGCCAAAGAACAGATATCTTTCGGGACCTCCAAGATTGTATAACAAAAGGCTTGGTCTTTCAATTCGTATGCAATTTCCCCTTTCAACTAATCAAAGGAAGTGGCATTTAACCAATAGTTAGGGTCAATTAGAACAACGATAAATGTGTTTAAATGTGTTTATGTTAAAGGCACCGAAAAGGTTATGTAATTCTATGTCTTGACATATAGATGACATGCTTATTGTCGGAAGTAATGATCAAATTATTAAATCCACAAGACGAGTTAAATTCTAAATTTGACATGAAAGATATAAGTCTAGTTGATGTGATTCTTGGAATTAAATTTCATAGAACGTCACAAGGAATTGTTCTAAGTCAAATGCATAATGTACAGAAAATCCTTGAATAATTTACAAAAAATGATTCGACTCGGGCAAGGACCCCAAGTAGATACAAGTCAACATCTTCGAAAAATAAAAGCGATTGTATTTCTCAAATAGAATACTCAAGGGTAATAGGGAGTCTAATATATTTAATGAATTGTACTAGACCAGACATCATCTTTGTTCTAGGTAGGCAAACTGGGTAGATAAAGTATATCACCTATACCCTGAGGAAGGCACAGAAGCACAAGTAATTCAGGACATGAACACTAGAATGGAATTGAGAGATTACTTGGATACTTGAGATATACTCAGAAATATAGTTTGCACTATTGTAATATCCACTTGTGATTGAAAGTTATAGTGATGTCAATTGGTATCAGATATGATACTCCAAATCTACCTTAGATATTTATTCGCCTTGGGAAGTGCAGCCATATCATGAAATTCTTCTAAGCAAAATGGATTGGACAAAAGTGGAGAAGAGGCAGAATGGCTTCGCCATATCTTACAAGATATTTCCTTATGGTAAAGCCCGTGCCAGCTATTTGTTTGCATTGTGATAGTCAATCGGCTATTCGAAGGGCATAAAGTAATATGTATAATGGTAAGTCTAAGCATATCCATCGAACACATAATACCATTACACAACTATTTATAAATGGTACTATATCTTGCAGATCCACTAGGTTAAATAGATAGTTAGTTGCTAAATCTTTAAGAAAAATAGTACTTAAACTTCTAGAAATGAGTTGATACAATGGAAACTCTACGTTAACTGAAGATCCCAAGATCTTGGTTAAAAGGGACAACCTAATTGTAAAAAAATTCTAGTAGTCTATGGGATTATTATTATCCATTCCTCACGTAGTGATACTCGTGATGAGTAGATAAGCATTTGGCTTTTAATGATTCTTGTATAAGCAGGTAGTGCAAGCTACTTTTAATTAAGAATGAGTAATTAAGAATCACCTATGTGATAGAGAAGTGAGGCTGCTTCAAAGAGAATTATGTTAGGCTCAACTCTTATATCCCCTAGCAGAACCAACCATATGTCGAAGGCCTTTAATAGACATAATAATGAGAATTGGAATATGTTAGGGAGAATCTTGTGTGGAGTATTTATCGTTTACACAAGAATCTTGTGTGGAGTATTTACCGTTTACACAAAAAGAAGAACATTTAAAGACACTGCATCTAATAAAGTTAATGTACTTTCTCACATAAGGAAGGTTCAAAGGGTAACACTTAGGATATGCAAGTTTCAACTATTGGACCATACGACNTAATTTTAAAAAAAAAAAAAAAAAAATTCATGTTGGGGATAATTGTTGGAAAATCGAAAAAATTAAATGAATGAAATAGTAACGTAACTGTAACTTTGTAACATATGTGTCGTGCAATTTAATTTGTAACTTGTTTTTTAAATGTTCCAAGTGTTTTAACCTTCACTTTGTTTAAATGCACAAGTTAATGTGAACTTGTCTTATGCCTATTCTTGTGCCTAAATTTCCCAAGACACGGCCCACCAAAGACAAAGCCCAGGGCACAATTCTAATTCTTATAGACGTCTTCTTTTGAGGATGAAGACATATGAAGAGAAAAAAAAAACAAGAATTTTATAGGCATTTCCCCCTTTATTATAGTGTTCTGGTCCGGGCACAATTCTAATTCGCTGGATTTTATTCGGTTTTGAAGTTGTATCCTAGGAAACAGATGCTCATACAGAGCAAATCTGTTTTAAGAACATTGTGTTCTCACAGACCTCAGTATTTTATTATATAGCCATATTTTATTTTCCCTATAAAGCTCCCAAGAAAATGATGGATAACATTATTTCCCAGCCAGCTCTTGGTGTTGGACAGTACAATGCAGGTACAAGTTATACCAACCTTTAGACTTTGCAAGTAATTTGACAGGTCAAGAACATGCATTCCAGTGCCATTTGCCACAGACAGAATGTTAAAAACATACTGTCCATGTTTAATCTCAGACCTGTTTCATAAGGGACATATATTAGTAAGTGAATACCCCTTCAGTACACAATGTCATCAGTTTCAATTTGAGATAAAATAGTTCTGACTTCTCTAAAATTGTAGCAACCACGGTATCTTTAGCTGCAAGAGACGTAGGTGAAGTCTGCAGCAGCAGAGAAGTACATTAAGATTCTAACCAGAACAAGATTTGAACAGAACAACTGCAATACATTTTTATGTTTTCAATAAATGGAATCATTGGCAAAATTATCATTCTGTGAATCAATTGTTTGTATCATAGCAGAAGCAATAGTAAACAGCAGCAACTAGATAAGTCCATAACTGAAATAAAAGTTCCCATACAAGCACATCCCATATGCAGAAGGTTTCTAATAATTCTAGTCCTAATTAGAAATTCCGAAGAACTGCATAAGATGTGATTAAATTGTGTAAGCTGCTATTTATAACATGATATGGTGCAATCATTTACACAAATGCTATTATATATAGAATGCCGTTGTTTAAAAATAGTTCCTAATCAAAAATAGCACCGAACACAAATTTAAAATAACATTAGACACTCTAAAGCATAGCATTCTTACGGTTCTTTGCAATAAGGATTTTTCTTATTTGAATCACATCTTATATATATGAAAAGTTGATCCCATGCTACTTAAAATGGGTAAATAAAGTCAAATCACAACCATTCATTGAGTCAGATCCAATACATATATGCGTATTAATATATGCTCCGCAAAAGTTTTAGTTGCAAACCTGATGGAAATTTAAGGTGCAAGTTACTTTCATCTGCGGAAGAAAATGTATGTACTGCACCTCACCCAACTCTAACTGGGTCAAAATCGTCAGTATAACCTACAAAGAAAGAATAATGGTGGTTAATCATTTTGGAACAAACTCCACAAAAGTATAAGGACATTTTTATATCTGTTATACTTATATCTGAAACATGATAATGCTTGGGTAGAAAGATCGACGCCAATTAGCAAAGTGCTAAACAGTAAAAGAGCACTACTTTAATGCATAAATAAACAATTTCCCTAAGTGGAATTAATTTCAGTATGTAGGTACTTAGACAAGAGGTTGAAAGGAGATTTAGATTCACAAAATGAAGAAACTTTAGCAAAAGAAGCTAGGTGAAGGACCTCTTCTTTCATGTCAAATTCACGACATGCTAATTCTTTGATCATTGAATAAACTCCTTCAGCTGACAATCTCTCACTCTTGAAAATTTGACCAAGCAACTTGTTGACAGCGTATTCATCCACACCATCACTGAAAAAAGAAGCACGCCAGCAATTTTTGGATATCAAACTACTCAAAAGAAAGAACTGACATCAAACTTGTTCATTCAGTTACCTGTGCATCAAACTACGAAGCTTGATATAAGTTGCATCATCAAAAAGAAGTTGGCAATAAGATAATCTACCATCACGCCCAGCGCGGCCAATTTCCTATGAATGATTATTTCATACTTTTACTTTTAGCCAGCAGACACAAAACTCATCTTTAAATTTTGATAGAACAAGTTGAAAACACATTTGAGAGAAATAGGAGGTTATGACCTGGACATACTCTTCCAAACTTTCTGGCAAGCTATAATGGATAACCTGATACGGACATGATTGACAAAAATTATAATTAATGTGGAGATAGAAGAATTGAGTAAGTTCGCCTGAAAAACATGCCAAAGATAAATTGCTGCATTAATTAAGATACTACTACAATGGTACAGCCTCTTATTGAAAAGAGTCATCGATACAGAACCGAACAATTTATTAGCAGTTGTTCAAACGTTCTAGCAACCTGTGCCTAACTGGTTTGTTGGTTGGGCTGCTTAGGAAATCTCGGGAAACAAATAACTCAATTCTAAATAGTTAGATGTAATACTGAGGTGCTTTTGAAGTTGGATCATAGCATTATCTGAACTTAAGCCTTTGCATAAGCATGCAACATAATTGGCGAAAAATGCACGATTATTTATTTTAAAGTGCTTCAAGGAAAAAGATGAGTTAATCAAATTGAAAGCAAGAAGAAGTTCTCTTACAGCTCCAACATCACTTTTATCAAGTCCCATGCCAAATGCTACAGTTGCAACAACCTTCCAGGAACAGTAACATGTCAATGAATCAACAGGTTAATAGAAGTAAGAACATATCCTGCTACAGCTACTAAAGAGGACATCCTAGAATACATAAATGAATAAAAGAAGAAAGGAAGAATTGAACAAATAGAACAGCATACTTCTAAACAAGTAGAACGGCATACTTCTAAAGGATAATCAGACTAATTCTCACCACTCTTATCCTGTTTGAACAAAACAAATCCTGTACCCGGCTTCTATCATTTGCAGGAATGCCACTATGGTAACTCTGAAAGAGAAGAATAGTAAGTTAAGTTATTTTGCCACATGCATGCAAAGTTCACCAGGCTAGAAAAACTGCTAATGTTTCAATAAAAATGAAGCATAAATATGCAGCAGTAACCTTTGCAGAGATATTGTTGTCACAGAGGTACTTGCTTATGATCTCAGTTTCAGCCTACAGACCAAATTGCAACAAAAGAAGTTACATAAAATTCAATATCGACGAAATCATTAGCCCAAGCCAACCAAGTTACCTAGAAACAGTGTTATCAAATGGCGGTCATGGCAGTACGGCGTGGACGCCGTGGAGGATTTTTTACAATCCGCATGCTAAATTTGTGTAGGATGGAGGTTATGGCGGCGCCATAGGTCGCCAAGTGTCCACCTATGGTGGAATTTTGGTGAAACGACATTTACCACCATCCGCCATTAATAACACTGCCTAAAAAATAACTAAAGTTTAGCTTTTATGTATGCCTATAGTGTCTGTGTGAGTGTTATTTATGGTGAAATGTACCTGGAATTTGCAGTAGATAATGATGCTTTTGATATCTAGAAATGGAGAAGACCTCAACAATGCAAGCAAGTCTTTAGTTCTGTAAAGTTGTCGTTGTATTATTAGATTAAGAGCTAAAATGTGGTTAAAGGAATTAAATCAATAAATCAGCATGAGCTTGCACCACCACACCTATTCCCACTAACAGATATTGAAAGATGCAGATTATCCCTTAATTCAGTTGTTTGAACAAGATTTGTTGGAGGAATTTCTAAAGCTTGCATCACATCACGCAATGTTTTGTTTGTTGCAGTTGCAGTCATCGCAAGAATACACCCAGCATTAAGCCTACCATGGAGCAGGGAGGCTCTAAGCCTCATATATGAAGGTCGAAAATTATGTGACCTGTCATAATAACTAAGCCTTTCAAAACTTATTGGAATAGTTCTGATAGGTATTCGGCGATAGAGTTAAAGAAGGGTGCCGATTAAGTTTAGTGAAAAACAAAGAACACATTTCAACAAGTACTCACCACTCTGAAACACAGTGGGCTTCATCAACAACCACGATAGATAATAATGTAGGGTCAGAAAAGATGGAAATGAATTCTGCATTCAGAAACCTTTCCGGCGAAACAAATAGGACCTGTGAGATGAATTAAAAGAATTGGAAAATATGTTAAAGTAAAAAAAAAATATATATATATATATATATGTTATGACAAGAATCTAACTGTGAAGCCCACCAAATGATTTGAGAACAGCGTATTTTTTGCAAGTATTCTATAAACACAGTTTTCTTCAAACTCAATGCCATGCCAAGAGGATTAATGATGTTGGTGCTGATATAACTGGAAGAATAGCAAACAAAAATATGTAAATAAATTAATAACCTTTAAGGCTCCTTGTTGCAGCAATTTTAGAGTCCTTGAAGCCTCTTCTGCCGTCTTACAACAATCAAAGTAACAAAGTTATGGAAAAGTCATCTAATTGCGAGAAGTACACACTTAATCTACTGAAACAAGACCAACCTGACTACTGCACAAGAGACCTCCCGGAATTGCAGGAGGCAAATGCCTGAGCTGGTCAATCATCAAAGCCACTAAAGGGCTGGCCACAAGTGTGACACCTGGCAGCACCAATGCTGGTAACTGGTAACATAACGACTTGCCAGCACCTGTTGGAAGCACCAGCATTGCTGATTTCCCTGAAAGCACCATCTTTATAGCTTCCAACTGACCATCCCTAAATGAATCGTAATCATGTGTCAATTTCAGTAGCTTCAGCAAATTATCATCCGATGCCTCATTTCTTACCCTCTTCACAGCCTCTTCAATCAATTCAGCTTGAAAGCTTGATTTTTCCTGCCGCTTTCCTATATCCTCTAATATATCATATCCATCAGTTACACCGTCTTCTTCTTCTCCACCTCGTAGACCTCCCTTACTTCCTCTATAATACTTAGGATGCCTACTGGATGAACTTAAGCTCGTCCTCTTATTCTTGTACTTGAACTTTTTCCTTCCATAACCATTGATATTGAGCTTAACAAAATTTCCCTCGTAGACAGTTTTAGCCCTTTTTGTCGGCAGCATATAAGAATTATTAGCCCCAATAAAATTAAGATTATTTCTCACCTTTTTCACTCTAAGCTCCTTACCATCGTCCACATCTTCGTCTCCAAAACCAGCCCCTTCTTCAGCATAAATCCCCTTACCATCAACCTCATCTTCATCTCCAAAACCAGCCCCTTCTTCAACATAAATCCCACTTTTTATCTCAGCTGAATTATCAGGCTCGAAATTAAGATTCTTACCTTGAACTTTCGCGAACGATGCAAACTTCGATGTGCAATGGCCTCCATGAACAAGAGTAGCACCACGATACCTGTCCCTTGGAACGTCTGATTTATTGATTTGGATGGAAAAATTGGACGCGGTTTGGGAGGAGTGAGAGGGTTCAGTTTCAGACGGATCGTACTTCGGAGGTGGACTCCTGTGCTTCCTAGAGATTTTCGGCTGAAGAATTGTTCTCGAAGTGGTTGAGGTGGAAACTGCGGTTTGTCTAATTCTTGATGTGGTGGGGAGAAGAATGCCACGGCGCGCCACCGCTGAGGTATCGGCGGCGGAGGGTGATGGCGAACTAGGAGGTGTGGCGGAGATGTGAGAGGCGTCCGAATCTGAATCGGATTCCATGGTGGGCAGAAAGTGTGTGAACTGTGTGATTTATGTGGGATGGTTTCCCGCCCATTTGATTTTTCCTAAACCTCGTCCCCTTGTTAGTGCGCGTATAGTTTCCTTTTAGATCGTTTGTCCTTGACANAAAAAAAAAAAAAAAACTAAAAAAACTAAAAAAATCGTATATTATCTGAAATTCTGGCGATTTCCGGTGAAATGAGCTACGACGAGATGCGAATTATCATCGGTAGACCGGCAATTACGATCGCACACGGCGGCTATCTACCGATTAGACCAGTTGACCGCAATCGTCGGTTGGCCAACCACCGTCGTGTGCAGGCGATAAATTAGAATTTAGAAATTATTAAATTATAAATTATAATTTATTATCTTATAAAATTTTTTATTAGTATGTTAGAACTTAGATATTATTATGTTATAAATTATAATTGATTATCTTATAGAATTCATTATCTGTATATTAGAACTTAAAAATTATTCAATATGGTTTTGAATTGATCATTACTTCACACAAAAAAAGGTGGAAGGATGAAGTTGTTGAGGTGTGCACGAGGTGGATGTTACATAGACAGTTTTGGAGATTTAGATTGAGCTGCCAGAAATTCAAAGACTAAAGCGTGCAATTGCCCGTTTGCGTCCCACTACCCCTTTTAAAGCTCTTTTAATAATAGATTGGTTTGAATGCACAAATTCCAATGGTTATTTTGCAATGCTATATTTCCGTTGAAATGATTCCAACGGAAATTCCAACAAAAATATATTCTGTTGCAATGAGTTTTCCATTAGAATTTCTATTGGATTTTGGCGATTCCAACGGTAGATTTTCCAACGGGGTAGAAATAATAATTCCAACAGAAATTGCATATTCCAACAAAAATTTTTACTATAAAAAACCGTTGGAAATATAGTCGTTGGAATCATCAAATTTCATCTAAAATTCCAATGAAAAACACTAGTTTCCAACGGAATATTTTTGTTGGAATGATTCAAACCGAAGCTATATCATTGAAATATCCGTTGAAATTTCTATTAAAAAATATTACCATAAGATTTTCCATTGGAATATAACCATTTTTTTTTTTTTTGTAGTGAAATAAACTTTACATTTGGGAAATGAGTGCTAGTATCATCACTTTCATGTTTAAGCGCTATGATTATCCAATATTCAAGAATACGGTTTATCTGATTAATTTTGAACATTTTTTGCTGCTGGATTATTTTAAACTTTTAGGAGCACATGATAATTGATATATGTCATGTCCTTTCTGCCGTGGTACTCTGAAACGAGTTAGATCAAGAGATTTGTGGGCTCTAATAAGCAAAGATGATGTGATTCATCCCGACAAAGTCTCCAAAGAAGATATGCGACCGTTTTTACATGTATATCAGAAACCTTTCAAAATACTCTCCAGATGCCGTGTTCTTAGTTTACTATGAGCATTTGTTGTGATGTGTGCATGAGGGGATAGGTACGTATATAGAAAGCCGACCGACCAATTTGCATATAGTCGGGTACAAAAAGTTTTCTAGAACTGTATCTGATTATAAAAACCTCCTTTCATATACAACACGCGATGCTCTATGAGGATTATACCTTTGAGTTGATAAATTAACTTTGTCAAGTATTATCAACCTTGTGTGTTTGCCTCCTCTGTGTATTAAATATCAGTTAAAACTGTGTTGTTATATTTGTTGTTTAGTTGTGTCGTCTAGGATTAAGGCATTTTCTGAAATGACAAGGAATGTAAACATAGGAGTTCAAAATTTATTTGGTTGTAGTACAATTACTACCTGCTGCAGTAGCATGTGGTCACTCAAAAAGCTTATGCATATTTAGTGTACAAAAATGAAAAATCAAAGCAGAAAAAAAAAATAAAAAAAAAATAATGTGTAATGCTATCCTATATCTATCATTTATTATAATCTCGCTCTCTTGATGCATCCAACTGTCACCCGGAGCAGTAAAACTCTAAGGCTATATACGTTCAGACTGCGGTTAGCTACATGTTTTTCTTTTTCTTGACGAGCTCATCAAAGGATGGCTGACAGAAGCCCTGATGAAGGAAGAGATTGGCCAGGTGTTTATGCATGGCCTCCGTGAGTCGAATCCCGTCCCAGCTCACGTACTTGTGAGGGTCCTTGCAGACAGAGGTGCCAGGCGAGCCACAGATGTTGTTTTTGTCGAAGTTGAACTGACCTTCCCCACATCCACAGCAGGCCTTGAACGGCTCCTCCATGCCGTATTTTGTAAGGTTGTTGGCAATGGTGAGGTACGCGTTCCAGTAGTCGGCGTATACGATGGTACAGTGTGGGTGCATTTTTCGAAACCTCTCTAGCGCCAGCTGGAGGATCTCGTTGTGGGCACTTACGCCTGCGTTGATTGCCGATAAGCACCCCATTTTGTCGAGGCCGTGCTTGGGGCCTGAGGACATGAAGCAGGGGAAGCAGCCCACAGGAGGCAGCCCCTGCACCACGATGTACTTTGCGCCGCTCGAGATAATTGTCTGTGTTAGTGTACATGCCAAAAATATTAGGTTAAGCTTCCCCATTTTGTTTGAAAGATAATAAATAAATGGGTAAATAAATTTTTCCAACTTGTACCACTACAAAAAAAAAAAAATGTTATATTCCAACGAAAAATCCTACGATGATATATTCCAATGAAAATTCCAACGGATATTCCAATGATATGCTTCCGTTGGAATCAAATTTCAACGAAAATATTGCGTTGGAATGACTTTTTCATTAGAATTTTAGATGAAATTTGATGATTCCAACGGTTTTTTTTACCGTAGGAACGTAGGAATGTGCAATTTCCGTTGGAATTTTTATTTCCACCTCCGTTGGAAAATCTACCATTGGAATCGTCAAAATCCAACGGAATTTCCAATAGAAAACTTATTCCAACAAAATATTTTTGTTAGAATTTCCTTTGAAATTCCATTAAAATATATTTCTATTGGAACTTTCCGTTGGAATTTCATCATTTTGTTGACGTATACTATACGTGCTTTTGNATCTTGACCATATACAAGTCTTTTTTTGCAGATGATCGGACGGTCAGAAAGTAGTCGAGTGTGCAAATAATTGTATATATGTAGTTCAGGTTGCATTTTACCAAAAAAAAAAAATACTTTAGGTTACAAATCTCAAAAGCACAGGTTGAAAAAAATTATTCACCCTAAATAAATAGTTGGTTATTAGATTCGTGTACGTACCGTAAGGATGTCGCACACATTCTTAACGGACGACTTGGATATAGCTTGAACGGAGATGGACGAGCCCTGAGAGCTCATGTAATCCGACACTCCAAACTGCCCGACCCAAAAGAGAGCGTTTGCCACGTCAGCTTTTTTTCCGTCTTTTGCTTGCCCTTGAAGGTACTCATTGAACCAATCCGACTGAGTCTTAAAACTCATGGGGACCCCTTTCCAGAACAGGCTGCTCAGGTTATTGGGCCCGAAAAAGTCGGTGGGCTCAAGGCTGGTGGAGCCCGAAACCGCAAAGTTGATGCCACTGCTGAAATTCCCAGATGATGATGATGATGATGTCTTGTATGGGCATGGGGAAGGGAGGGAAAGGCCCGAACACAGGAAGTCGACAACTAGACGGGCCGAAATGTTGAAATTGACCTCATTTTTTAAGTGGGCCTCGAGGAAGTTGCAGTTGCCTTTGTCGGTGTCCGAGTCCCCAAAGGCATAAACTTTGGGGAAACAGCCCGCGTAATTAGTGGCCGACGAAGATGGTGGGTCCTGTTTGGTTTTGTTGTGGGCAGATGACAAGGAGAAGAGAAGGAAGATGAGAAGGTAGAGTGATAAGGATTGGTAGATGGACTTGATCATTTTTTTTATCTGTTTTTGTTTATGCTTCTTGTTTAATTTTTTTTTTTGTGTTTTTTCTGGAGAGAAGAATAGAATGCCATCATTCTTATTGATGCAGTGGGAAGTGAAAGAGAGGTCATCCTTAATGCTAGGGAAGAACATAAGGTTGTAGTTTCATGTGTAATGTTGACTAATAATTTAAATTATAATCAGTGGCTCCAACGGTGGTTTACTCAAAGTAGGATAACTGTTGCTGCTGATTTAAATTGTTAGCCGTAGAATGCACGACTATAATGAGAATATTGGTTGGTGGGAAGGGTCTGTTAATAGTTATATAAACTAGTACTCAAACAAATGCAAACAAAATTTTATAAGTTTTAGAGCATCTCCAATGTGTGATGTTGACTTAATAAAATGTTAGTCACATCATCAAGTTATAAAGTGATTACAAAAATTACTCTCCAATTCATAATGTTATTGACTCTTTTATGCTGACATGGAGATAATAAATATCCAAAGTGTGAAGCTCACTTTCTAGTTTTCCAAAGAGTGTTTGAAAGCCAATTCATAAAAAATCTAACATATTTTAATCTTTTGAAAGGGTGGTGGGAAGGGTCTGTTAATAGTTATATAAACTAGTACTCAAACAAATGCAAACAAAATTTTATAAGTTTTAGAGCATCTCCAATGTGTGATGTTGACTTAATAAAATATTAGTCACATCATCAAGTTATAAAGTGATTACAAAAATTACTCTCCAATCCATAATGTTATGGACTCTTTTATGCTGACATGGAGACAATAAAAATCCAAAGTGTGAAGCTCACTTTCTAGTTTTTCAAAGAGTGTTTGAAAGCCAATTCATAAAAAATCTAACCTATTTTAATCTTTTGAAAGGGATGCATTGGAGATATGCATTCCAAATTAAAGTCTTCTCTTTTGACATTCATATTACATGGATTTACATTCCATTCATCATTTGACATGTGTTCAAATTTAATTAATATTCAAAGTGGAGCATTGAAGATGCTCTTATGTGTGTATACAATATTTAAAATCATAAGTTAGATACAGTATATCACATTTTATAAATTTTGGCATTAGTAAAAAAGAACAAAAATGAATGATATAAATATAAAATATTTAACTTACATATGAATCATTACATTGATTAAAATTATTATTATTATAGCAATTGTATACGAAATTTTAAGATATTTGGTTATGCCATAAAAATAATTAACTAATTTTCATAAAAATTGATTATTAATAACAAAAATTATAATAATAACTCTGAATAAATAGTTTGAAAAAAAAAATGAATAGATTTTTTTATAAGTATATAGTTGCATACATCATTTAGTGTGAGTTATACGATGAGTTTGTAGTAACTATAATATAACAACATAAATAAAAATATAATTACTTGATTAATGTAAAATGTAAAGGTTCTTTCTGCAAGTAGCTGAAAAATGAGTGGGAAAAATTGGTTTTTCCATGAACTTCTTTGCCTACGATTGTAGATATATTAGTATTCAATCTTGTGCACATGTACAGATACAATTTTTCTTTTTATATGTTATATATGTGTATATAACATTTGAAATGATAAGGTAGATAATGAATACATCACAGTTATAAATTTTATCATTGGTAAAAATAAACAATATAAATATAAACTATTTAACTTATGTATTAACCTTTATGTTTATTGTAATAATGTATTTTTTGCAATCTTGGATGATTATGACCAAATATTTAGATAAAATATTACTTAAATTATTATTGTAGTAAATGTGCACAAAATTTTAAATAGTTTGGTTATGCCATAAATAATTAACTAATTTTGATACTTACTTTGATATGGGATACCATACCCAAAAAAACAAACCCAACAAATCGACCAGCTAGGTCGAACGCACCAGTTGGTCGAAGCAGAGAAGCAGGAAGGTCGAGCGTCGACGAGGAGCCTTCAGGTCGAAAGGAATGCGAGGGGTCCAAAGGGACAACGACAGGTTGAGCTAGGGCCCTCAGATGGCCTGTTGAAACTCGGCCTGTAGGCCTGGTTGGTCGTGTGATCGAAGCATTCTACCCCCGGTAGGGTTCGAGCTGGTCGCACCATTAGGCATTCTAGTACGAAACACTAAGAAATAAGAAGGAATTTTAATAGGATTAAAGCCACACGTGAATAGAGCCACGTGGCTTAACATAATTGGTAGTTTGGGCAGTACTAACAGGTAGTTCTGGTAGCCCACTCAGGCAGTCATGGGCAACAAGGTATCACCCCTCTATATATGGAATGAGGTATGCTCATTATCACATTACATTCTCTATATTTTCTATATACATACAACACTTCGTCTTCTTCACAGTGTTAACTTTCATCGGAATAAGCTCTTCACCAGAAAAGCCCCTCCGGTGTGAGATTTTTGCAGATCTCAAGGAGTTCAACCGACGAAGAGCTTGAAGTCAGACTAAATTCATCCAGTTGGAGGTCTTTTGTGTACCATTTTGGCGCCGTCTGTGGGAATCTTTTCCGCAACCATCATAATTTCTTCAATGAGACTTAATCTTAGTTATTGATTTTGTGTAGATCAATGGCGCATATTAATCAATTGACTATCATTGACTATTAAAAGAATAATAATTGACATTGACCGGCGGTCGACCGAAGTTGACTCTAAGAGTTGCCGTGCACTTGCCTTCTCCGAGTCGTAGATCACTGCTCGTTGATTACATGTGTCTCCAAAGAATTGCTTGGGATGCAGGTCGTTGAACGTGGTTCCTTGCTGCATCATCTGGGTCACGCACGCTGCCTATCGCGTCGACGAGGTGTAGCGCTGCTAGCTGTGTCGTCGGGTGCATTGTGCGTGAATGATCACGCGATGCCTAGTGTCGTCTGCGGGTCGCATCACCTGGTGTGCGCCTGGTGCCGCCGATGATGTCACCGTGTACGGAGGTCGCCGGTGGTTGAGCACACCGAGTTTTGTGGTCGTCAGACAACTCCCGGGGATATATATATTCACCGGAATACAGAAAATGAGACCCTTTGATTTACCATTGTATAACCGATCACCTACTCTTGTTTGCCATGGTGGACGGCTTGTCACGTCTCTTGAACCTCTCACAAAGTCACACAATTTTCCTCTCACTTTTTGCTCTTGGTTTTGTCGAGTTTTCTTGCTCAAGAAGAAAAACTCATGTGTGGTGTATTGTGTGTCTTGGAGGCTAAGGACTTGGTATATATATAGACTACAATAGGGACCTTAAGAAGGTACTAAATATGGGCTCCCTAATTGTGGATTCAGCTGTGGGCCTAGCCCACTCCATATACAACTGAATAATATTAAATATCACTACAATAATATTATTGAATTCCAAATTTAGCCCCAGAATTACAAATAATTCATCTCCCCGCTAGTTATTCGATTTATCTCTCCATGTTTAATATCTTACGTCCGTTGACAAATTTAATTAATGACAGTATAATTAATCAGCTTCTATATTCGAAACTAGTGTCACTCAGTTCGTTATTATTATGTCGAAAACTAATCCGTCTGCAAGGCTTAACATAATAATATTTCCTAAGCTCATTTTGGAAATGACATCAACCTGGTGGACCAGGACACAGTGACCATAAATAATTTCTACAGCATATTATGACTCGACATTACTTACCAAAATACGAAGTATGTCGACCTACCGGAATAAGTCTAACCCATGGTAAATCAAATAAGTAAATACAAAATACACATGCCTGTATCTATTGTACTACGGGCTAAGAGAACATAACTATTACTGAGGTCTAGATTATTTACTTGGTCAATATAATATAATCTTCTCCTCTGTAGGTTCGTCCAATACATCTAAGATGTACTAGTATAATTCATTAGTCAAAGACTAACTAATTCAAAATCACATTGCAGCCTTTCACGGTAGTTAGTTCAACTTTGTTGGGCTGTGACAAATAATTTATATTTTATAAGGCACCGGTAATATGATCTTTCTGTTCGACACGTCGAATCATATATCTACAATGTAAAATAAAGAATTATGTTCGCATAAAGACTAAAACACAATTCTTTTTCAAAATAGTATTGTCAGAAACTGAAAGTCGAATTTTCACACTATACTCCAACAACATTTACCAATTTTTTCATAGAGAGTGATGTAGCCAGAAGAGTGTGAGAGCACGTTTACACCTGGATCCATTTAACCCCCACCCATGACATTTTTTCATGCTTCTGAGTTCTTTCTCACATCGCACACACTTTAGACACGTAGACTTCCTCATTCCTTGTCTGATCTTGTGGTTCATGTGGACATAAATGAATAGTGTGAAGCATACGGATGTTATTTTTCTGTGCTCTCATATTATTTTGCAGGTAGAGCAACACATCTCCCTCCACACAACCTTACGCAGACTTAGACCTTCAGACTTGACAGGCTGTAAGCCGCCATACAAACTCATGCCGTCCACCTTGTCGCCTCTCTAGTGTCCTCGCCCTAGAGCTGTTGTTCGGTTGAGATCCGACTTCCCTTGGGTCAAGTATAACATTGATGGTTTATTCAAACTCTAGAGGTATGATATGGGACAACAACAGAGACCTCATCTCCACCTTCCACACACCCCTTCAGGCTTCCTCAAGTTATGACACTTAGGATTAGGCACTATATATATCTGTCTCCAGATAGCTCCACCCATCTTTACACATTTGGATTTAATTGGACGTTGTTGCCTCTGTCACGCTCTTGACTTTGGGACATTAGAGATCGTTGCAGATCTAACATCGACTCATGCGCATCAGATCTACACTTGGGTCAATTTAGCATAGGATCACACATGTCTTCCATAAGGGGAACCGATCTGCTGATTTTCTCGCTAGACTTAGGCGCCACCATTCCCGAGAGGCGCACCTTCTAGGCTGACACCGCCCCCACTCTGTCTTTGAATATTGTGCAGATGGATCAGCATAACTACCCATCTTTCTGCTTTCATTTGTGGTACAAATTGTATGTTTGGACACTTATCAGCCACATTTGTTCGTGTTTTTATTTTCGAACCTTGTACTCGTTAAACTAATTATGTTTTCATCCCAAATTGGGAATTTGATATATGCATGTGGGGATGTGGCCTAATCCCCTCATTCTAGGTCGTTATAATTTTTTTATTATTATTATTATTAAGTATTTTACCCATAAAGAAAGCAAAAGACTAGTGGGAAAGACCAAACGAAAGAGAAAAATATATGTCGATAAAGCCGGAAATCAAACTAAAGTGAAAATCTAAAACCCGAGAGATATACAAAATAAACGAAATAGGGAAAATGTATTAAGTGCAATCGGCTAGAGCGAACGCCGCGCTATTAATTGTCGACCTAAGCCATCGGAATCCCGCAGCTGCCTCCGATCGTAACAATAACTCAGCAGCTCCAGGCATATTTCTATTTCCTGTTATATCTGTTTTTTCTGTACGAACAAATTTGTGTGGAAAATATTAGTGAAGTGCTGTTGTCGGACATACAGATGACAATCGATTCGATTGGATACTTAATTGTTGGGGCCTTTGTTTCTGCAAGCTCTTGTCAGTTGTCATGCTTTAGTTTACCTTATTGTTGGGTTGTTTCTGATTTTCCTTGAATTTTTCTATTGATCTAGATAGCTACTTTGATGTCCTCTTTTCCTTTCTTTCATTTCCTTTTTTCTTTGGCTGGCGTGGTTTGAATTATTTGAGAATTTTCTATGGAACAATACTATGAAGAGTCGTCTTAGATATCCTTCCTTTTGGTGATTGTATGGAAAGGGAATCATCATTTGTTTTCATGATAATTTGAAATAATATGTATTTGGTTTTGATCCCATGGAGGAAGTAAAAAATTGTTCCAATGGACGCTGAAAAGATCTTAGCTCTGTCTTTTTTTCCGGCATCTCTCTTGATCTGATTAACTACTTGCTGTCGATCTATTTATGGAAATACATTTTCTGGTCAAGATAATTATAGTTTGCCAAAGTTCGCAAAGATGAACTGTTGTTGAACAGACTGATTTCAAGATTTTGCTACAAATGCTGTAGCATTAACTATTAGTGCGCAACTCATCTTCTTCTACTGTTACAGTTGGAGGCATTTATTTCAGCATGGATCCAGCAACAGTCGAACAATTAGATTTCGGGGAAGAAGAATACGACGGAAATCATAAGTTGCAATATCCTCAGGGTGGTGCTATACCCGCACTTGCTGATGAGGAAATGATTGGTGATGAGGATGAATATGATGACCTCTACAATGATGTTAACGTGGGAGAGGGCTTCCTTCAAATGCAGCGTTCTGAATCACAAATACCTTCTGCTCCGGTAAACAATGAGTTCCAAACTTCGAAAAATTCTCAAACTAGAGCCGATGCATTGCCCTCCAAAGACACGAACAATGCCCTGGTCGCCAATGCAGCCAAATTCTCTGAACAAAAGACGAGCATGCCAATAAAACAAACTGTGGAACGGGAAACACTTCCTGAAACGGCACAAAATTCTCAGTCGGGGAATTTGGGAGGAGGATATACCTATCGAGGATCAGCAGGCGTACCTCATAACACTGCCCCAGACCTTGTGAACTCCTCAGAAAAAGTTCCGCCGCCTAACGTGGCGACTTCAGACCGCCCAGTGGACTCCGAGTACCTGATAAGGTCGTCCGTGGAAAACGGTAACACGATGCTGTTTGTAGGTGAATTGCACTGGTGGACGACGGATACTGAGCTGGAAAGCGTGCTCATCCATTACGGAAAGGTCAAGGAGATCAAGTTTTTCGACGAGAGGGCTAGCGGGAAGTCGAAAGGCTACTGCCAGGTCGAGTTTTACGACGCTTGCGCAGCCTCCGCTTGCAAGGAAGGCATGAACGGTCACGTTTTCAACGGGCGGCCTTGTGTGGTGGCATTTGCCACCCCACAAACCATAAGGCAGATGGGTGCCTCGTACATGAACAAGAACCAAGCCCAGGCGCAGTACCAGCCGCAGCAGGGTAGGAATCCCCCGCATGACGGCACGGGGGGGAGGGGTGGAGACTCGGGTAGGAACTTCGGACGAGGTGGCGGCTGGGGACGAGGGAATCAGTTGAATAACAGAGGCCCTGGGGCTGGGCCAATGAGAGGAGGAAGAGGAGGGGGTATGGGGAACCGAAATATGATGGGGAACAACAACAACGCGCCCAATGCTGGAAATTTCGGTCAGGGCCTTAACGGGCCCGGTTTCTGTGGGCCCGCCGGGTTGATGCATCCTCAGGGGATGATGGGCCCCGGTTTCGACCTGGCGTTTATGGGAAGAGGTGCCGGTGGCGGATATGGGGGATTCTCGTCTCCCGCTTTCCCGGGTATGCTTCCCCCATTTCAAGGCGTGAATGTGGCTCCTCACGTCAACCCGGCGTTTTTCGGTCGAGGGATGAGTCAGAGTGGGATGGGGATGATGGGGAATGTAGGGGGGATGATGGGTGGGCCCCACTCAGGGATGTGGAATGATGGTGGTAATAACATGGGTGGGTGGGGAGGGATGGAACATGGACGGGAGTCGAGTTATGGTGGTGAGGACAATGCATCGGAGTACGGGTATGGTGAGGTGAGTCATGACAAGGGCGTGAGGGAGAAGGAAAGGAATTCGGATCGTGACTGGCCGAGTAATAACCCGGAGAAGAGGCATCGGGAGGAGAAGGAGCGTGATGATGGGGAAAGGTATGATAGGGAAAGTAGGTACAGGGAAGAGAAGGATCATTATCGAGACTATCGCCACAAGGATCGTGACTCTGGTTACGATGATGACTGGGATAGAGGACAGTCGTCGAGGTCACGTAGCAGATCAGGTGCGGCGGTGGTGCAGGAAGACGATCATCGCAGGTCTCGTTCTAGGGATGCTGATAATGGTAGAAGGAGACGTATGGCATCTGAATGATGTGAGCATCTAAAAAGTTGGTACCATTGTTTGCTATCTGGATTATGTGAATGATTTTCGAGTGTTTCTTGTTGGTTTTGGTACAGCATGCTGCGTGGTCCCTGGCTTTGATGAAGTAAGTACCCCTTTAGTAGTGGATGCTGTGAAGAACAGATTTGTGTTGCTTTTCTACTTCAAAATATAATTGAACCTTGGTGCTTCACTATATATTTGTGCTAAATATTCAGGGATTTAAGTAGTATGATCACCTGAATTTGCTTGATGGGATGAATCTGTTCCTTGTGGGTTGATCCATCTTTTGCTTCTAAATGCACAATTTCACGTTCGACGTTCTGTCTTCAACACTGATAATCGATTGTGAGTAGTTACTATGTGTTTCTACTTTGTTGTTTGATGGTAATGTAATGTCTGAGTTAGTGTATATCGTTATGATTTTCATATGGCCTCCTGGTCGTGTATTATTGTTGAGAAAGGGGTTTCTTCGATCATTTCACTCAGGAGCAGAGACCATTTGGTGCGCTCTTGGATATCACTGAAATCCGTAACTTTTAGTGCCAAGAAGCTTTAGAGCATGTTTGTTTATGAAAATTTTTGGTTTTGTTTGAATTTTTTGGTTTGATTTGGTTAATTTTGAAAAATGTGGTATGGTTAGGTGTTAGTGGGTATATTAAAATAATATTTATAATAAAATAATTAAAATTGATTTGATGTAAAAGTAAGAGAGAGATGATTTGAAGTGATAGGTAGTTAAAATAATGTGAGTGGATGAATAGTGAATTAAGGTTGATGTTGTGTGTATGAATGATTGATTGATATTATTTAATTATATTGATAATATTGATGATAGTGGGGTTGAGTTAAAGCTGAGTTAATAAAAAGTGGTTCAGTTAAAATGTTGAAAATTTTTTGAAAACTCTTTAAACAAACATGCTCTTAGTCATATATACAGTTTCTTTGTGCTACCTAATGGATGGAATAGTTTTGAGATGTATCTTCATATGTGAAGAATAAGCCAATGATACACCATATATTCCATGTAAAGAGTCTGTGATTAGCGTATTCCATGTTGTATGTGTACATATGTAATCAATTAGTTTGATAATGTGCATCTCATCCCTAAGCTTGTAAAAGTAATGTAGAAATCTTCAGACCAAGTGTTTTGTCATGTATACGGGGTCTGTGATTCGAGTTGTATAATCAAGCTGTATCTTAAATATGTTCTACGTGTTGAGGCGTCATGAAATAGAGAAGGTTGTGGTCGCCCGCTTTGCTTTAGTTTGCCGTGAGACGGTCGATGTAGTAACGATTTTGATCTATAAAAATTTTATTTAACGACCAAAAAAAAAAAAAAAAAAAAAAAAACTGAATATCCTCGACTAGCTTCAAGTTTGATTGTTGCCTTGTATTTTATGCTGTGGTTTATGGTTCATTAGTTATTTAGGTGTTTGAATGCATCAATATTATGTTCACTGATGTAATGGTCTTTGTTTAGCTAGCTCTTATCGAAATATATCCTAGGTTGATTCCTTATGTCTTGAATTGTTGCGTGGCTTTAGATTGTAAGGCCGTGTTATATACAAATATATCTTTTCAAAACGAGTTTTTTTTATTAATCAGAGTTAATATTGAAAAAGTTGGTATGGTTGTTTGTGAGTTCCTTAGATTATAAATTTAAAATAAAATAATTAAAATTGTTTTGATGTAAAAGTAGAAGAGAGATTATGTGATGTGATGGTTAGTTAAAATTATGTGAGTAGATGAATTGTGAATTAAAATTGATGTGATGTATAAGAATGATTATTTGATATTATTTAATTATATTAATAATATTGAAGATAGAAGATGGATCAAAGTTGAGTTAGATTTTTTATATGAAATAAGTATAAATTGGATAAATTTATGAAAAAACACACCCTAAAGATTTCGGTCAGAGTACTAGAAGGGACATATGACGGTAACTAGCAACTATAAATATGCAATAATTGTATAAAATAGGTAATAAATGACCTAGGTGATTGGATAATAATATCGTTTACGTCGTTAATTTTTTACGGAAACTATGTCCTGATGTGTAATTGTTGCGGAAATTGTCTCCCGACCCATTTTGAACCACAATCTGCTGATTTGAACTGTCTTGACGCCTTTGATGACGTGCAAAACGCCAGAAGGGGCCCCAACCGAAAACACTCTGACGCTCACGTTCATCAATAATGTAGCAAAAAAGTATCTTGTTGCGTGTGTGTTGTGTAAAAATAATAACTTGTTTCCCTTATATAGATGAGGTTGTATATCAATCAAGGTATTCCTAGTAGGGCTAAGACTCCGAGTCAGACAAGAAGTATTCTCTTATCTTCGTCCTTATCGAGTCCCGAATCTCGAGTCCTTGATAATGCATACATCTTGACTTAAACGTTTCAGTTCCCTTCTTCTATCCAACTTCAAATCTGAAGCTACTGCTATACCCCCTAGGCTGACCCTGCTGGTATGAGCACCAAGGCCGGCTTAACGGTCGACCTCATCACCATGCTCAGCCGCTAATCCAGCTAAGAACCTCCTACGTGCTGAACTCCTCTTCGTTTGGGATAGGCCAAAATTCAGGACCTAAAGGACGACCTGCGACAAGCACCAACCTTGATGTAGAGCGTAAGTAAGAAATGGGAAGAACAAGCACAACTCAAGAACAAATTCTTATTTTCACGATGAATAATCTGTTCCCTTCTGTTCAGTACTAGAAGACATAAAAGAAAGAGTCCAAAGCCCCTCCACTACTAGAAAATAAAGCCTAATAATTATTTAGCCCAAATACTAATAATAAGAACTAATAATAAAGACTACTAATAACAGTAAAAAATAAATAAACTAGATACGAAGACGGTCGTATTTATTCAGAAATGCTATCGCAGTCTCGTCTCCATCATCCTCCCCCGGTTGGAAAGGATTCGGCCGCGAATCTGAAGGGTCTCGTCTCCGTCTGAATTGTCACCAGCAAAAGGGACCAAATGTTTGACGTTGAAAACGTCAGACGTGCGAATATGAGACGGAAGGCAAAGACGGTAGGCATTGGGGTTTATTTTCTCCACAACCTCCACGGGCCCAATTTGCGTGCAGATAATTTATTATAATCATGAGCAGAAAACCTGTCTTTCGTCAACACAGCCCACACAAAATCACCTACCTCAAACTCCACATGCCGACGACGAGCATCGGTTTGCCTCTTATACGACACCGTGGAAGCTTCCAAGCGCACCCGGGCCACCGTGTGGGTTTGCTGCAGCTCCGTGATGAGGTCCGCCGCACGACTGTCGCCACCGCCCGGCGACGGCAAGGCTGCCAAGGCCGCAGGTCTGCGCGGCTGGACGACATAAACAATCTGAAAGGAGGAGAAGCCCATAGCCCTGCTCGAAGCCAAATTATGGGCGAATTCCGCCTGGCTGAGTCGCTGGTCCCAACTTCGAATATTGTCACCCACCAAACAACGAAGTAGGTTCCCAAGTGAACGGTTCACCACCTCAGTCTGGGCATCCGTTTGAGGATGGTAAGCACTGCTAAAGTCGAGACGTGTGTCAGCCATACGCCACAAACTCCGCCAAAAGTAACTCAAAAAGTGAGTATCGCGATCAGAGACAATCGCCGAAGGCAGGCCATGAAGACGGTAAATCTCGCGAAAAAATAACTGCCCACATGAACAGCATCTGTGGTACGCTTGCAAGGAATGAAGTGCACCATCTTCGAAAAACGATCGACCACCACGAAAATAGAATCAAAGCCTCGCTGGGTACGAGGCAACCCCAACACAAAGTCCATATTGATAGCCTACCACGGTTGGGAAGGAATTGGGAGCGGCCTGTACAAGCCGGCATTACTCGCGACGCCCTTAGAGACTTGGCAAATCCGACAACGGGCCACAAACCGGCCCACATCACGCCGCAAGGACGGCAAAAAATAACAGCGGCCCACCAGCTCGACGGACCTATCACGGCCCACGTGCCCGGTCCGGTGTAGATCGCCAATGAGCTTCTGGTGAAGGCTGCAATCCGGAATACATAATCGAACCTCCCGAAAAAGAAAGCTGTTCGCCAAGGTATAGTCCTCATAAGGCCCGTCACGTAAGCGGCCCACAATCGAGCCAAAAAATGGGTCAGTCAAGTACACGTCCTGCAAGACCTCAAAACCCACCACCGACACATTCATCTCGGACAACAAAAGGTTACGACGACTCAAAGCATCGGCCACCCTGTTAGAGGCACTCGACCTATGGCGAAGAACGAAAGTAAACTGCTGTAAGAAAGCAGTCCAAGAAGCAAGCCTCATCGAAATGTTATCCTGAGAGGCCAAGTGGCGGAGTGCCTCATGATCGGTGTACAGTACGAACTCCCTGTGAAACAGATAATGTCGCCAATGGCGAACCGCACGAACAACAGCATAAAATTCAACATCATATGTACTGTACCTCAATCTCGGGCCTGAAAGCTTTTCGCTAAAGAAGGAGATCGAGCGTCCATCCTGGCTCAGCACAGCTCCTATCCCCACTTTGGAGGCGTCGTAAGATAGTTCAAAAGAACGAGAAAAATCCGACAACACAAGCACCGGAGCCGACGTCAACTTGGTTTGATAAGAGTGAAGGCGTCAGCAGCAGCCTCGGTCCACAGAAAAGACTTCCCAGAGATACAATCAGTAATCGGGGCCATCAACGAGCTAAAGTGTGAAATAAACCGCCGATAAAACGAGGCCAACCCGTGAAAGCTGCGGGCCTCAGTGAACGAAGTTGGAGTCGGCCAATCCCGAACGGCCGCCACTTTGCTCTCATCCACCCGAATACCCTCAGCCGAAATAAGAAACCCCAGAAATAGGACGGAATCAACCAAGAAAAAGCACTTATGTGGCGCGGCGAAGAAAGACTCGGTTCGCAAGATAAGGAGGACAACGCGCACATGCTCCAAATGTTCCTCCACCGAACGACTATAGACAAGTATATCGTAGAAATAAACGACGACACACCGCCCGATAAGATCACGCAACGCCTGGTTCATGATGCGCATAAATGTGCTGGGAGCATTGAAAAGGCCAAATGGCATCATCATCCACTCGAATAGTCCCTCTCGGATTTTAAAGGCCGTCTTCCATTCATCACCTGGCCTAATCCGAATCTGATGGTAGCCACTACGAAGGTCCAATTTGGTGAAG